TATATATATATTAATATAAACAACATTTATATATTTATTTATTAAAAAGTATATGAAATTTCATTAAAAATTAAATTTATAAAAATTATTCGAAAAACGATAGTGATGGTGCACTGCTAAAGAATGGACATAATACTCCCTTCTTTGCTTGACCTGCAACATACAACAAATAATAAATCAATCCAATTGCAATGAAAAGCAATCCAATTAAAAATAAATATTCAAAGAACAAACTGAATCATTTCACTATAATTGGAGTTTCTTTTTATTGGTAAAAGAGGGTTTGAATCCTATTCTTTGGAGATCATATATCAATCAATGAACAAAATACTTGAATATATCGTCATAATAGGAGTTGAATCTTTTATAAATCAAATCATCATAATAAAAACATGTCCCCTATTCCCTTTGCAGACACCCACAAAATTCAGCATCCAGTAAAACCAACCAGTCGCCAGACAGATAGACTCCATCCCCGATCTCACAATGAAACACACCACGGCACACTAATTTAACATTAGACTTCTGTAGCATAAGAAGGGTAGCCTACATTTCCAAACACATGCAGTGCATACCACCGACGAAAGTCCCATTTGATATTACTATTATCACGTAAAATATAATTATTATTCTTGATATTTGATTTATTTATAATTTATGTCATGCTTCTTTTTGGACACAATGCTGCCATCATAACTGTAAGACAAATTAACACATCTCGAAATATATTTCTTATTAAAAATTCTCTACTTCCCTCTTTTCCAAAATTGAATATCCACTTTCACTTTTTTTTTCCAATCAAACAAATATAACTTTGACCATTATTTATTATAATTTTATTTGTAATTAAAATTTTTAGAAATAAGTTTTTAAAAATTCTAAACTCAAAATTTTCAAATCTTAATTATTTTTTGAACTTTCAATTCCAAACTGTAATATAAAAAATTATTGTCAAATTGGTTAAGTTTGAATTAAAAACTTGTGAAGTGGATATTAAATCTGAAATGGAAGGAGTATTGTATATTTTATAACGGAGAATAATTTGGATTTGAAGCCTCAAGTTTAAATAAAAGAACTTAAGGTGATGAAGGGTCCAATAAACAAGTGTTTATAATACTGTTTATAGATCGTTAAAAATATTATTTTAAAAAGTATTTTTTTCATTTCATATTATATATATTTTAAATATCATCTTAATTAGAATTAGTGGTGGAGTCAAGATTTTGTGTCTAAAAGATGAAGACAATGTCTATAAAATAGTCATATTAGAAGTTCAAACATATAAAATTACTTAAATGGAAAAAATTCATTTGAAAATTATAAAAATAATTCTAACTACGTGTTAAGTACAAAATGAAGACATTTTTTAACAACTATTGCAAGCTAAGATTGGGCATCTTAATCTTTAATAGAGTTGAGAGTATCTACCACTGAATCAATATCAAAACCTTGAATGATTTCGTTTTCAATAAAAATGATAAACAAATTTTTAAAAAAATCATCATATATTTTATTGTAAGTCTCATTTTTAACGAGTTTCATAATAGAAAATGGATGCTGTGATGTTATAGTGAAAATTGAAATAGTCAAGACAAGTTGGATCAATCTGTCAATAAAGAAATAAACTTTTTATATTTTCATCTTCTTTAATATTTGACATAACTTAGAAAATGTAGATGCATTTTTCAAAGCATGATTATGAAAAATGTCAAGCTTAAATATATCTAATTGATAGCTTAAATATATTTTATCATACTCAATAAAGCTATCAGAGTAATATTTACTTGTAAGGTTGTAGATACTTTTAACATCAAACGATTTGAAATCATTATGAGGGTTCAATGATGTGCCAAGAGTGAGTAACTCCAGGATATTCTTATTAAATTTAAAAGTCAATTCTTGTAAGAGTGAGTCAATAACAGGAAGAAACAAGTCAACTTAGAAAAAGTGCTCAATTGTGGCATGATCCTATTGAAGACAAACTTTACCTAATTTATATCTAGCTTTCATGTCATGAATCTTAATTTCATATTTCTCGCAAAACTTCTTCATTGACACAAGTAAAGGTTCCCATCCATTTTCTCTCAATTATTGGAGATGCTTTTTAGTAAGTGATACTAAACAAATTGCATTTACTATGTCTTGACACTTAAGTTGTAAAGATTTTGAGAGGTTATTTGTTATGTCCAACAACTTCTTCGTAAGATTCAAGATAAATACAAATTCAAATAACATACTAGTATTTTATAAAAATTATAAAATAAAGAGCAAAATTATAAAATTATTGTAGAGGTAAAATTAAAAAATTCTAAAAAATAAGGATATGTTATAAAATAATTGTAAGGAAAAAGTTATAACATTTCACAAAAAGAAAAAATTATAAAAATTTTAAAATTTTTAAGAGGCGAGGGCTCCTATTAGCGCCTTCTCCTCTACCTCTGATTATAACGTAGTGGCACTTCTCATTCCTATTAAATAATGAGATAAATAATATGTTCTGCAGTTGTCACTTTGGTGAATCTTTTACATTAAAAATCTCATGAAATTGATTACAAATCATAATATCACTATAGAAAAAGTATTGTAACAAAGTTCACTATAACATATTATTATAACATAACTATATAGTTTCATAAAAGTCAAGTTTTAATTGGATTGTGTTTTCAAGAAGACTTTGAAAATTAGAAATTGATTAAAATATCTTGATCTATATTTAGTGTTATGAATTACTTGCCTATGATATCTTTATGTGGTCGTAATGATCCTTTTATTGGTAATTAAAAAACTTAATGGAGGGGTAAAAGAGAAGAGAAGGAGAAAAAGAAAGAGATGGAAAGAAGTATGAAGAAACTTAAAAAAAATTATGAAAAATTTAAGAATTAAAGTAAAGTTAAATGAATTAATAAGGTCATTTTATTAATTTTTATTTGTAGGAATAATTTAAAAAAATTATTTTAAAGACTCATTAAAAACTATATATAATATATAAAAAATTTTAAAATTCGTGATCGCGGTTGTGAAGAGACGCTTCGTCCTGAAATACGTACAAATATGTATTTAGAAATATATATGAAAATATATATAGAAAGAGACAGATGTCAGTAAGTACGTTAATGCAACTAGATTCAAGCAGCTTTCTTACCTGGGCCTAGTCGGGAAGAGATGTCGATAATAGTGACAGATCACTATGATAGCAACATGTGACATCTTTTGTCATATTATACATACGTAGATGATCATTGCTATGTAGTCAGACCCAAAAGTAGAATGAAACTGTTCACTTTCTCTCATTTGCATGGTAATGGCTACCGCTGAAAGTTGCCTCTGTTCTTCCTCTTCTATTTTGGCCTTTCATCCACTAATTAAATTTGTCTCTTATGAACCTTGCAATCTCGTTTCAGCCAAAACCTTCCTGTCTTAATATTGTTTCGAAGATTACATCACGGAAACGTATCCAAAGCCAGCATTTTTATTCCATATGATGTTTCAAATGAAAATTAAATCAAATTTGTTCCCAAATGATTAATCTATATATTACCATTCCTAGTTAAGATGTGATGTTGTTTAAACCATTTGTGCATTTGTGTGCAAAAACCCAAAATCTTTGACATAGAAATAGTTTCTGAATGTATTTTGAATCATTGCCTTGCCCTATTAAACATACGTCATATATAGTTATCAAATAATAAAATAGAAATATGAATTGATGTAGTATACATGAAAATTGATAGGTGGTTGAGGTGACAATGTAAGATAAGCTGTACCTTAATTTGTTTTTTATACAAAAATTCATGTGACATGAACGATCTATCTAATAACTTGTGTACGTAAACATGTTTTATATTTATAAAAGAAAACTTAATTTAGTATTTATATATCAAGTCCATAGGAATTAGCAAGCTCTCATCTAATGTCTGCTATGTTGTTCATTGTATGGGAAACTCTCTTTATTTTTGACTCTTTATGTTAGAAAGAAAATGATGGTTTGTATTTTTATCTCTTGGACAAGGATAAATCCTTTTATCCTTTGTTGAGCATGCTCTTTTGATCAGTTACTGTATCTATTTGATACTTAATAAAATCACAATTGATTGAGTAAAACAAGTTCTTAGAATTAATTTTCGAATTGAATAGCTGATTTCGGGATCAAATTAGAAAATGCATCCCCAATAAAGGTATTTTTTAAGTGAATTTATTGGCTTTCATAATCAAGGGCCATTCCAGTCTCAAACTTGTTTAGCATAAGACTTTCCATGGCACAGAAACTTCGTACGGGCTTTCATACTATTTATCTCAAAACCACATGGTTGCATTCCAAATAATGTAAAAAATTTTCAAATTTTTTCAAATTTTTTTTTATGAATGCTAAAGAAAGAATCCAAAGGTTTGCACAACAAAAAGGAAGCTTGGGTTCCCTCTATTACATTTTTAAATAATCAATCCCTACTGAATTTAGCTATCACCCATGTGATGAATTAGATCTCCATAATAATTGAAATGGCAAATCACGTGTCAATTATTTAAACTAATTCATGTTCCCTTCACTTCTTGTTCTTTAATCATCTCCTACGTGTTGGCCACCAACAGCCATTAGTACAATGACAACGCACGCTTAATTTGCACATGCAATAAATGCATATGTAAAGGTCTCCCTTATTGCTTTCTTAAATATATTACAAGACATAATTGCGTTCTTAAACTATCAACTTACTTTATTAAAAAATCATTTTATGGTTATATAAAAAATTTAAAATGAATATAACTTTTTCCAGAAAAAAAAGGTTTTTTTTATGAACAAAAATAACTTTTATTTTATAAAATTCACATTCAGGTTAAATTAAATCTTAAATTTCAATGTCACTTATTTTTTAAAAGCATTGGATTCTGTATTAATTGGTTAACAGGACTTACAGTGAAAATGTCGACATAATTGATCCTATCTCGTTATATATATATATATATATATATATATATATTTCACTATCACTCTATGGAAATAATTAATGAAAAACAAAAATTTATTACCTCAAATAATTTAATAATTAATAAAAACAAAATTAGTAGTACATCAAGATCAAAAAACTATCCTCCGAAGTCTGTGCAATTTGACACCCGTATCATCCCTATGCTATCAAATCCCACTAGCATAGACAAGCCATTGAATGTAATAAATGGAGGAAACAAAAGGGAAAATGTATCACCAAACACAGGAAAGAGAAGTTTACCTGTATTTAATTTTGGGGTCCACGAGAAACACAGGCACATGAAAACTTAGTGGAATACTGCAGAGCCAGCAGAGATGAGCCCATTCAAAATTTTGCCACTTTCCTCTAATCCTCTAAAAGAATCCAGAGAGAGAAATTGTACTTTTCTTTTCGATTGACAGCAGCTCGGGATGCTCCCCTACGTTGATGGAATTGGTTTACAACTCATAAAGTAGAGGGAAGAGATCATGGCTTGACTCGTACCTAATTAGCATTGATAACGCAAGAGACAAGTTAAATTAATCCCTGGTTTAATTAGAAGCTAAAAGTTTTGGCATTTCTTCATGATCAACAATTGTATTCAGAATAGACATGTGAATAATTATATGCCTCACAAAAAAAAATTACTATATTTGCTTATCAGATTATATAACTGAAAAATTCAATATAAAATTGATCAAACTCTCACTGGATGAGTTTGTTTCCAAAGATTTTTACTGTTTAAGATTTGTGATTGAGACAGTAAAACAATAATTTTGTATTTTTTTCTGTTTCTTATAGTAACCAAGCAAAAGGAAATAAGCCAGAGTTTGCTAGGAAAGCCGCTCAAAATTGGCATCCTTAGACTACTGCTTCAGCCACTTCAGCCAATTGCTTGGTTTGGTGTGAGAGCAACATCGATTCTGTAAAAAAAAAAAAAAATTCTTTTGTCATACAAAAAATTGTTTAAGAAAAAAATGAACAACATGACTATATCAATCAAGGTACATAATTTGTTCATTTTTTTGGTTTTATTTATTTGGATTTTTGCTCCTTTTAGTTTGAATTGACTAAACCATTCCTAAAGAAGTGTTATTAAAAAAACTATACCAAAAGAATAATTGGCTTAAGAACTTTATCATCATTACCTTAATTGTTTATCAAAATTAAAGTGATATGATCAAAAGAAATACACAAAGCTGACCAACGTGAATAATTCAAATTTAATTTAATGATTTTTATTATTTTTATTAAAAAAATAAAGTTTTAAAGCTTGAATCCTCCTTTTACGTTATACTCTCGTACATATTAAAAAGACAAATGATCAAAATGGAGTCACATGATGGTGCACAAAATCAATTAACCTAAAAAATATAACATTATAAGATCTTAAATCCTAATAATAATAATAATAATAATAATAACAATAATCCTTGGTTCAGTAAAAGAAAAAAAAATACATATATAGCTCTTTTACTAGACTCCTCTTTCAAACTATGCACCACGGATAGACTTTCAAAAAAAAATAAAAATCTATGCACCACGGATATATACAAGATTTTATTTATTTATTTACCTTTTTACACAAAGAAAGGTGACAACAAACACTTTTAAGTTTTAACCGTTTGCAAATAAAAGCTCTCATCTATCTGTTTTAGAAACTTTAAAAAGTAAAATTTTAATAAATTAAGCTCTGCTTACTTTTTCTTTTTGCATAAAAAATAAATAAAGTAAAATAAAAAAATAAATGAAAAATAAATAATAAATAAAAAAAATTAAAAATTAAAAAAATAGAATAAACCACTCCGAATGAAGCGTTAATAAGTAATAAACAAAAAAACAAACCAAACTTGATTTGAGAGATTAATGAGACAGAAAACACACGAGACAATTCCTTCATTCATTTGTAAGAAGGCATAACAGAGGAACAAGAAACAAAGAAGAGCTAATTTAATTCGCAAATCAGTGAGAAGAAAACCTGTGAGAATTTCGGTGCTGGAGGAGATAAGGCTTAGATGAATGTTCAATTGTTTTCGCTAGGCAAGCTTACATGAATTTATAGTTAAGATTTGTTCTTGCAGTACATCAACTGAAGTACAAGCTTTTGTACTGCAACCCCTTCTCTTGCTTTCCCTATTTCTTCTAAGACTAAACTGTGATGGCTCAGCTTGCATAAGAAGACAGAAAAGTTCATCATAAGTATCTAGGGAGGCATTATTACCCTTTTTTGGTGAGAGCTCAGCTATCAGAAGTAATATCCAATTAAAATAAATATGTTTAAACCCTATTCTCGTATTTTACCATCATTAATAATTAGACTGATGGGGTTTTTTTTTTTTTTTGAGAGTTACGTAATTTTATTGTTAATTTTCAAAGATAAAATTTTAAACTTATTTTTACATGGAATAAGAAATAATAGTAAAGAAAAGGAAAATAACCCGTAAGTTCATAATGTTTAGATCTAGGGATATCTAAACTTTAAATGAGGCCTAACCAATCACGGCCGTAAATAAAATCTGAAATCATCTATTGCTCTCATCCCGTCCAGATATAAAGTCTTCATTAATTTACCAAATCCTGTGATCTTTGGACCAAAATTCCACGTTTAATGGAATCAGTGTCCAAGTCAATCAAATAATAAACTTGTCCAAACGCAATGCTGTCCCAGCAATAATAAATCCACAAATCTCGCCTAGGGAATGGTAATGAATCTGCGCTTAATTTGTGAGAATCCACATATCTTAAATTGCCATCAACTAAGTAATTTGGCTATTTTGCTTCCTCTATAAAAAAGAAAATTGCCATCAACTAAGCAATTTAAATATATTTTGAATTAGGATTCCTCCAAAGATAAGGCACTCAGCTCCCCACAACAACCGCCTCCTTAGTCAGCAGGATCTTCACCCCCACAAGAACTCTACACACCTTGAGTCCTACTACACTTCAACTCCTGTATGAGAGATATCCACCCATTATGCGTCCGCCAAACACCTGTCAGCCTATTCATAAAATTTTAATAAAAACCCACACTTCTATGTATCCCATCTTTTGCAAGCTTATCAGTCAAATCATTGGCTTCGCGTAGTACATGTGTAATCTTTCAATAATCAAGTTTTACTTGGCAAATTTTCCATGCAAATAATTTACTGTTTATATTTCCATAGAGCTTCCTTATGATTATTGGACCATAAAATTACATTTGCTGAATCACTTCCAACCCATTGTTTTAGAGAACTAGTCATTAGATGATTATTAATAATACTAAAAGCTTCATGTATTGCTAACAATTTCGTCGAGTTAGAATCTCTCATCCCCAACGTCTTAGAAAGTTCAGATTTGATTATACCTTGATTATCGAGGAGAACATCACCAATCCCAACTAATCCAGAACTATTCAAATATGCACCATCAATATTAAATTTCGACCATCTCATAGGAGGAACCTCCCACACAACATTCAACCTACTGTTTAGAGAAGGCCGAGCCCCAGAGGTATTTTTAGGACGCCGAATTAAGTCTTGAATGGAGTTCTTTAAATGTGAACTCTTAGACTTGAACCACACATCTACTCTCAACTTGATGATATCCAAAAGTCTAAACCCTAAATCTATTTTTTACCATTAAATATTATATCATTTTAAAATTTTCAAATGGATCAAATAATGGCATAAAAGGATAATAACCATCATTACCTCTATCTCCCCCTAAGATCAAAGCCCTCCAAAGCATGAAACAGCTATGTGGATCGTTGTGGTACACCCATTGAATTTCCTACTGTTGACACCATGGGCATAGTATTTGCCAAAAGTCATTGCATGACAAGGACAAGTGACATACCGTTTCTCTATAAGAATTACAAAAAAACACACATGGTTTTATCTTCTGCAATAAGACCTCTGATTGCTAACTCATCCTTCACTGAAACTTTTTCCCACATAGACTCATATTGTTAATTTTAAAAAATACAAGAACTAAATTTTTTTAAATTATTATATAAAAATTAAATCCACCAGTTTAACAGTTTACAAAAACTATTTATATAATTTAACTTACATTCATCATCCTCAATTTTTTAATTAAACTGCAACTTAAGTTCATAAGATTTTTAAAATTTTTCATTTTATCCGCAATTTGAATTTTTTTTTCATCTTTTTAAGTCATTGTAAACCCTTTCATCTTTTGGTGATAAGTGTCACTCATATTTTATATAGAATATGTCAATATATGGATAGGATCCAGCTATATTGATAGTAAACTCCACTAAAACAAGTTTTTGAAACATGATAACATGGGTATTAGAAAATAATAAAAAGGAATCAAATCCCTTAAAAATTACTAAATGAAATCTCTGACTAATTAAGGATCAACTTTAAGAAAGATTCAAACGAAATATTTACGTAAGTATCCTCCCCAGAGGTTACCAAGGCGTCGGTTAGTACGAAAGTATAAATTAAGCAGCAAGTTTTCTTTAATTCCTTTCCACTGTCTCATCAGTCTCACGTGTTTCACCTTGGCAGCTCATGTTACTTCCAATCTATTGGTTCATTTCGTTGTTTTGTTATGTGATCACCTTCCTAATCCTTTGAGCACTATGAGATATTCAAATCCAAGTTGAAGCACGTCCACCGTTTTTGTTCTTAATTAAGATGTTAACATCATGGAATGTGGATTACCACGACGTCAGTTTAATCAAATCCCACAATCTTTTATTTTATTTCATCATTAGTATTGGAAAATTTTTTCAATCTCCGTTGTAGAGTTCTTAAACTTTATAAATGAAATTAGAGGTCACATGTCTAACATTAAATTTTATAGTTTAAAAACTTAGTAAATCAATGTTATAACTATTTCTTATCCTTCTTTGGATGCTTCCAAAGCAGAATCTATTGGAGCAAGTAGAATATATTGCCACTTTATTTTATTTGTTTATCATAAAAATAGCATTATGATTTGAAGTTTCACCTGTTGCCACTTGATAGCTTGAAACTAGAATCAATTTTTTTTTTTTCATATGAATATTTACTGTTTTTTTCATATGAAAACTTATTGAGTCTTTAATTTTCCAATGAGAAATTATTATTACTTCTTTTTCCATATGAACTTTATCTCTAACCATAAAATTTGAACTTCAAAATAGAGATACTTTGCTGGCAGATTTTAAGGGGAAGATTGGCGGCTAAAGCTACGTTGGCAAATAGAGGCATGGTGAGCCATCTCTTCTTTGGTTGTCCCAGTTCTTGGATTTTATGGCAGAAGTGGTGTGGTTATGGAAAATTTATTGGGCCCTTTGATTTGCTTTCTTTGGTGGGTTGAGTCTGCTTGCTCGCTTAACAATGGGTCGGTGTGGATAATGGTGTGGTATGCTATAATTTGGGTCATTGGGGCTTCTAGGAATGATGCCATTTTTAGTGGTAAGATTTAGGACGGTGGGCAAATCTTTGAGCTCTTAAAAGTTAGGGTGGCTTGGTGGATGCTGCAAAATGGCCCAACCACTTTTCACCTATCATTGATCTTGCACGATTCCCTAATGAAGGTACTCTACCAACTTTGACAAGGAAAAGTAAAAGTAGTGTACGTTGGTCAAAGCCAAGTGAAGGGAGTGTGCTCCTCTCACTTATTTATTCTTGAATGTGACAATTGTAATGTTGTAGATTGGCTTTCGAACCCCAATGATGTGCCCTGGACATTGAGAGCCATTGTCCTTCAAACTTTGTTCCATTCTTGCTCGGATTGATAGATGGTCCTGTTAAAAATATTAGCTCAATGAATAACCAACAATAATATCTAAGAGAGGTGAATTAGATTTTTAAAAATTTATTTTGAATTTAAGGAATTAAAAAATACTGTTGTAGTTGACTATAAAAGGTTTCTAGTCGACTATGCTTATGAAGAACTCATTTTAGGACAATTTAAAAAACTTGTAGTCGACTTTACTGATCTTATAGTCAACCTTTGGCAAGAAAATAATTTTCAAAAGATGCAAAAGAAGTTTCAAAGAGAGTTATGACGTGTATGTAAATCTTTTGCAAAACTATTCAATCAAATGCAAGCAAATGATTATTTTTAAAATGTTTTAAATATTTTTCAATTACAAATCAAATAAGCATAACACAAGAAAAATATTTCCAAGAGTAAAAGTGTATGGATGATAAAGAAAAACTCAATAAAGAATAAAAAATAAGATGCTAAGAATATGAATCAAACCACAAGCATTTTATGAAATGGGTTTTCTTGAAATGAAGAATAGCAGAACAAGGTAATGATAAAATGAAGATATTAGGTAAAAATCAAAGCTTTTTCAAAATGGATTTCTTACTTGTGTTAAAATCAAAGTAAGTGATTTTTCTAAAATGGAATTTCAACAATAAATCATAAAGCATAAAAGTAAATCAAGACACAAAGATTTTATAGTGGTTTGGCTTTCTCAAATGCCTACATCCACTTCCTTGGCAACCAAGGAATTTCCAATCCACTAAAAATGATTCTTACTTTTTAACGGGATGAAGTGGTAACCCTCACAATGGCTTTTTCATGGGATCAAGCGATAACCCTTGGTTTTTAATGAGCTCAACTATAAACCCATATAATGGCCTTTTTCAAGATCAATCATAACCTAATGGCTTTTTCACAAGATCAAGTGATAAACCATAGTTTTTAATGGGCTCAACCACAAACCTATATAATGGCTTTTTTTGAGATTAACTATAACCCTTACATTAACTTTTCAAGGCTAAGTTAGAACCTTTACAAGAATAGCAAAAGTGCCTCTAAAAGGTAAATTTTGCTAAATGTGTACAATCGAGTAAGAATGCTGAACATTGGATATGAAGATAGGATATAAAGATGGGAGTGAAAGCACAAAGTAATTTTAATTAAAGAAGGCTTGGGTTCTCTCATTTTCTTTCAAGACTTTGATTTAAGAATTCGACATTTTTCTTTTTTCTTCCTCACTTTGAAATGCTTCCAATTGGTTCTTTTTATAGTTGAAGAAGTCTTGGAGCCGTTGGAGGTGATTAAAACAAGAAACTAGCTATTTTCCTTTTGAATTTTATGTCTAATGATCATCTATAGTTGAGTATAGAAGTTCTCTAGTTGATCCACTTCCAAAAAGCTCGTATTTTTGAAGTCT